TGAGTTTTTATTAATCTGATCAAGTAGGATACAACTTTTTGGACTTTCCATTTTAGTTTAAATCATTAGCTGTTAATGTATTTTACCTGACCTTACCAATATTTATACTAAATTTACATTTTACGCCCATTACACACTGTGCAATGTATATATATATATGTTTTTTTTTAATGTGTCCACAAAATTTTTTTTTTATTTTTTTATTGGCACAAGGGGCTTTTATACAAACTGAACCAATTAGGATGTTCCAAATATTTAATTTTCCTGATCAAGAGCTTTTTAACAAACCGGAAATTGAAAGTGAAGATTTTATCAAGTCTCTCCAATGAATTCACCCCAAAACAAGGACTACCACAGGGTTCTCCATTTTCTCCTCTATTGTACAATGCATACTTCGCCGACATCTATACTCACGCCAATAACATCCCACAGTTATTCCCCATGCCAACTTACATACTCCAATATGCAGACGACACAGCTTTAGTTTCACATGGAAAATCCCTTGTCAAAACGGTAGAAAACCTACAAAGCCTGATGAACTCAACCACAGTATGGTTCAACAAATGGAGAGTAAAACCCAATCCAACCAAATCCCATTTCATCATTTTCAACCATCACCCTTCACCTTCATCGCCTACCATCACTATTCATCAGCACAATCTTCATCCAGAATTGCAAGTTAAATATTTGGGAGTTACCTTCGACAATAAGATAAGTTTTAAACAGCATATAAACCAAAAAAAGAAAAATATGATCTCAAGAGCAACCCACTTTAGGGGATTGACATACCAGAAGAAAGGGATAAATCTGACAACAGCAAGCAGTATTTATAAAATGATATGTCGTCCAATGATAGATTACGCCCATCTGATATTCTTAAACTGCAAAGCAGGCATCAGGAAAAATCTGCAAGTAGCCGAAACATCTGCAATCAGAAAAATAACAAAAATTCGCCACCCCAACAACCCACTACACAATCCACCTAACCCACTGCTCTACGAAATGACTGGCATAAAACCTATTGAGACACGCCTACACGAACTAGCCCAGAGATTCTGTCGAAAACACACCAACATGGAGATACTACAAGAATTCTGTATAAGAAGAAATCCAGAAGTACAGGCCATACACAAGCATCCAGAAGAACCGCTCATTGAAATACTTCTCCGATTGGATCAACAATTTTAACATAACAAAAATGACTTTTTTTTTTTTTTTTTTTTTTTCACAATCAACAGTAATTTTTTAAAAAGTCAAGCAGGAATGATTATAATTTATTAGTATAAACTTAAAGGCTGAAGGACCTAGGTCGATAGCCGGTAGAATTGAATAGTAATGATTGTACTTATATGTTATATCATATGTATTCAATTCAATAAAGAACGATTATTATTATTATTATTATTTTTTATTTTTTTATTTTTATTTGTATTATTGATTGACTATCTTGTGTATTGTCCAAAAAACTGATTTCAACATTTGTGTGTATATTGGAACTATAAACTTTTAAATTTAAATTTAGGATTCCAGACTTTGTCAATAAGATGTATCTATCTTCAGACAATAAAGTATTTTGATGATGATGATGATGGTATTTTATATCCGATACTTTATGGATTGAGGTTAAGGTCCCATTATTTTGAATAGTGAGGGAGTCATATTCTGGTAGGTATGGTCGGTAAGATGTGAAGGGGATGAAGTTTGTCTTGCTGAAGTTTATAGTTAGAAGACGACTGTTAAACCAGTTTGCTATTTTTTTAAAATCAGTTTCAGCTAATTTTTTTAGGGTTTTCCAATTGTCAGCATTATAAATTACTGCTGTGTCATCAGCAATACTGACTGCATCTCCTTCAATATCAAGTTGGAATAGATCATTTATATAGATGTTGAATAAGAGAGGCCCTAGGACGGTTCCTTGAGGAACTCCATAAACACCATCTTCAGTGGTGCTGAAACTGTTATTAATCTGCACCATTTGTTTTCGATGTTTCAAGTAATTTTTTATTGAGAACTTTGAACATGAATTGATTAAAAAAAATTGACCATGAAAGATGCATGCCTTTTTCAAAATAGAGGACCCTCTGTAGGTCTACTATAAAATTATTGGTCTACTATAAAATTCCTAGTCTTGGAAATATGATAAATAAAGTTCAGATTCTGTAATGTTGATCCTTGCTAAGAATCAAAGTTTTGAGTGCTCTGGCTGGTCAAATAGAGGAAGACTTCTGTCCAAATCAGGAGGTTTGGCAATCATAAATATCATTTAAAATAAGAATATACTCTTGGTTGTGTATATGTGGATCACTGACATAAATTCTATCTAGAACTCTATGTCATATCTCAGCAACCTGAAAATCTTTGCTAAATTGATCAACTGAAAATGCTTCTGTGCAATGCTCAGGAACTCCAAACCAAACTGTAGTTCATGACAGCAAGTCTTGTTGCTGCATCAGCAGTGTAGATAGAAGTTTACGAGGGGTTAACCACAGAGGAATTTTTCGTACACTTCGTGGGAAATAACGAGGAAATGGAGGAATTTCGAGGAACTTTGGGGAATTTCGGGGAATTTCGAGGAACGTAGGGGAATTTCGAGGAAATGAATAAGGAATTTCGGGGCATTTCAGAGAAATTGGGGACCTTAGCTCAGTGGGCAAGACGCCATTATCGCTCGTTTGCTGCCTAATCTAGTATGCTGTTTATTTATTAGTGTCCGAAATGACGACAGTTCGAACCCGGCAGGCGAAATTTTTGGGTTGAAGACGGTGGTCATGATATCAATCCTGTCCGTGTCGGCTTTCTTAGAAGTAGTTCGGTTTCCGCTGCAAAGTGTAGGTCCCGTTCTATCCGGTACAAGTTTCGACTTCTGGGGAGGTTGATAGTTTTCAGCTTTGAAGTAGAGGTACACAAATTTTACGAATTCCCAGGGTTAAGAAATTCAATGAATACAAAATATTGTTTTTCTACACATTAATGAAATTTCCTTTCGTGTGCTTCAAGAGATAAAAAAAAAACTCCAAAATACCATCCCTTGGTTGGCGGGCTTTGAATAACACAAATGAAGAAAATACTAACTGTTTAATATAATAATAATAATAAAAAATCGTCTTTCTTTGGGGAAATTCAGCCAAGACTATTTTAACATTTAACAACAATGTGGAATGAAATATTACATTTTATAATATCGAATTGTTGGTGTCTGTTTTAGAGGTCGGAGATTATGATTCTCCTGTCAAAATTGGTGATTTCAAGAGGGCGATAATCCAATATGCCGGTCGAGTTTTGTAATTATGTTCTGAATATATTCAAATTTTTATCGTGGTCGGAGATCATGATTATTTCAACAAAATTCAAGGTGACGGATCCAATATGGTGGACGAGTTTTGTGATAATTATAAGATCCGATTCTATCCAAAATTGGAATCTGGGGAGTTTCGGAGTCGGAGATTATGAAAGTCGAGTTGTGTAATTATGTTCTGAATCTATTCAAATTTTTATCGAGTTGAGTTTTGTAATTATGTTCTGAATCTATTCAAATTTTTATCGTGGTCGGAGATCATGATTATTTCAACAAAACTCAAGGTGACGGATACAATATGGTGGACGAGTTTTGTAATAATTATAAGATCCGATTCTATCCAAAATTGGTATCTGGGGATTTTCGGGTTGGAGATTATGAAAGTCGAGTTGTGTAATTATGTTCTGAATCTATTCAAATTTTTATCGAGTTGAGTTTTGTAATTATGTTCTGAATCTATTCAAATTTTTATGGTGGTCGGAGATCATGATTATTTCAACAAAATTCAAGGTGACGGATCCAATATTCTATCCAAAATTGGTATCTGGAGATTTTCGGGGTCGGAGATTATGATGCTTTTGTCAAATTTGGGTACCTACAAAAATTAAAAAAACTACTAAAAAATGAGTAGTAGAATAATAGTGGCCAGGTAGCCGCGCGGACGACTCGGCGGACGAAGCGTCAATATTCTAATCCGCGTCCGCTTGCCGATTTTGGGTTCAATTCAATATCGGAAGTGAAGCCCAATTTCGCTCCTTAAGGTGTATTCACATAAGGCAGTCGGTAGTTGATCATTGGGAAATATTAATTCAGATTCTCTGTTTTATTTGGAACGGTTTTGCTCTTCTTAATTTTTTCGAAAACTGTATGGACCTTGAGATAAATGCAAGAATAATTTAATTGTGAGAAATCTTTATTTTTCAATCACACTCTATTTGACTTCTCTTAATAATTGGAATGTTTAAAAGCTTCCTTAAGATGTAGCTAAACTCTGAGCTAAACTCAGTAGCAGAACTTGAAGAACACAAAAAATATATAAACATATCACTCCACCTGTATATAGAGAAATAGGCTTCAATGCATATTTATGTTTATATGAGATTGTTATCTTAAAATAGTATTTTCTTCAAGCTGTTGAAGTGCTCTGCTCTCAGCTCTGCTACAAAAAACTGACTATTGAGGATATAATATTCAGAATTTTACAAATTTCCTATTGAACTATTAAATGAAAACAGATTCTTGAATAATTTTCAGAATATACCTATATGAAATGGTAATGGATGAAATTACAATAAGAAATTCATTGAATTAAGAGCGCCCTTGACCTCTGATTTTGGTCTTTTCGAATGAAAGGAAACAACAGGGAAATGGAGGAATCTGGGGGAAATGCGATGACTTAGAGGAATGTTTAGAAAATAAATTGTGGATGAAGGAAATGCATAGGAAAGAGAGGCAGTTTGGGGAAATGCAAGGAATTAAGGAGGAAACGAAGGAAATGGATATGAATCAGAGGAATTTCAAGGAATTGTGAGAAATTTTTGGGAAATGAATAGGAAATGAAAGAAATTAAGGAAATAATCAGAGAAAAGGAATTTTTCCTACACTATTCAGGCTGTGATCAACCCCTTGGAAGTTTATCAGTGGTATAGGAGCTTGAATAGATATGGATCAAGTTGATTCAAGTTACCTGAGAACTATCACTCACCTGTAACCTTACTAATAGGACTCTTTCCAGACTCTCACATAATTCTTCACTTACTTCAACACCTATTAAATTATCTAGAATTCTATTGATCAGTTGACATGCTCGGAGTCTGACAACATCTTGGAATGACTCAGAAGCCTAAAATATAATAGCCACTTAGATTGGTAAAGGTTACCTACATATGGTATACTTGCTTCCAATAAATAGGATATAATATCTGTCAGAAGAGGATGTTCCATATAATCAACTGTGGAATCTGAAGTGTCATAATCTTCTGGTTTCAATAATGAACAAAACATCCCGAAAAAATGTATAGATTTTTCAAGATGTTGAGTGCTCTTTTTAGTAACCAGCATTATGTTCATAATATTTCTAAGGACACTTTTGAACTCATCAGTATTGGACTAAAATACAAAATGGGAAATGATTACAAATTGAGTATGTAAATGACTCAAACTAAGTTTATACAGGAGCCTGGAGCTTTTATTAGATATTTGTTTCACAAAATCTACAATTTGTATATTGGCTTCAATAGATTTGGCACTAAAAAGATAGGTACATACTGATTGATAAAGATTCCGCAGAATAATGGAATTCTTTTGATGTACTGCAGCCGTTATTTGAGAACTAGTGAACAATTCGACAATATCATGTTTAGTGCTGTTTATCATATTTTCCTTCGATGTAAAACACATATCAATTTCAAAAATTCAAAACAATGTTTCCGTTACAAACGCTCAAATGCAATAAATTCAACAAATGTTTGTTTTGGTTCTTGACAGTTTTGACATTTGAGCGCATGGATCACGGACTATGGATCGCGGCAGGAGGCTGCCACGGCTGCCAGCTTCGCATCCGTTGATGGCTGCCGCTGCTGTAATAATGAAGAAGGAAAACATCCCTTATGCATAAAAAAGGAGATACCTTTTTTTGAAACGAATAACTTGAGACCACCTAGAGAAACCTTCCTAGTGAATGAATCTTTCGGAAAATCAGGTGAGAAAAAAGAAAATGAAAAAAATCGACACACGTGAGGATTGAACCCGAGCTGACCCGAGCCTCATTCCTCATTTATGTAAACGGTGTCTCTCTATAGAAATTACTATACGAACTGGAAAAAACTTCGAATATAAATGTTGTAGGGTTTCATCTATACTATATCTTCTAGCATTCCTTGAAAAACAGATGCGAATAGCGAATTTGTAAAAGAAGTCGCATCATTTTTTCCATTCTTCATTTTCAACTATAGTGGGTGATCTTATTTGCTGTTCATAAATACATATATTATAGTTTGCTAATGATTCCTCAAGCAGTTTTCGAGTAAAATCTTGCTGATGTACTACTGGAATTTTCGCAGAAGTTCCATAATACAATCTTACTATACCAATTTCGTATATTTGTCCTCTCTGGTATGTCAAAACTAGAGAGTCACTCTAGTCAAAACAACGCTTGTTTTGTTTTTGTTTCCATGGCATGAAGTTATTGGCAATTCAATTAATCATTAGAAATTGTCGCACAACTTTCAAGTGTGGTATTTTCAATTACTTTCGGCTCCAAACTGGCATGAGACAAATTTTGTCGAATAGCATGAATAGCAAAATCGAATTAACGATTCTCGAATAATATGTTCTCGAATAAGTTTTGTTTATAAGTTCATTGGGTTTCCTTGTTGTTATGATGGAGGTTATGTCAATTTTATGTTGAAAAAATAATGGCAGTGGAAAGAAAATAAGTTATTTTGCTTTTACCTACGACCACTATAGAAAATAGGCAGAAACACACGAAATACAGCCTCAGTAAGTAGCTATTTACGCACAGTAAGCACATCGCTCCGTGGCTTTTTCATTCGTGCGTAATATGCTTCTTACAAAACATAATAATTTACGTAATATACCATTCTTGACATCTGCTGTTGACGGCGATTACGCGACCATGACATATCTTTATACTGGCCATTGTCTGCTGATTATGGAGAAAAAATGTAGTGAGCTGGTTTTTTCTTCATATTTAGCAGACAATGTATTGGCGCACTGGCGAAATAAACGAAAACTGTGGGATGTGCTTACCTACTGTGCATAAAGAGCTACTTACTGAGGCTGTATCTCGTGTGTTCTTGTCTACTTTCTATAGTGGCCGTAGGTAAAATTTCATAACAGAAATTAGTCTATTTCAGGTTTGTTTAAAGTTTTTTGTGTTTTACCCCATCTTCACATCATATTTAATCTGATGTGTGTTAAACTGAAGACTGATAATCGAAGGAGAGCTTTCTCACCTAGATATTTATTCTTATACCTATGTAGGTAATAATACCAGCAGGAGCACATCAGCTTATTGAGCTGTGAGCAGACCAAGAGCAGAGTAGATACCAACCAATAAGAAGTATTTTCGAAACTTCCGTTTATTCATTAGAGTTCTACTCAATTTTGTTCCGATAGATACCACTGGCTGATGTCATTTGATTTCGAATGTTATAACATTCATGTAGGTACCTACGTCTCAAACTTCCCTGCATAATCACAAATCATGTCCAGTTTAGCAGAATAATCCTCCCACTTCGCGGTATTTCAACTGTCAGACTGACACTCTTCGTAATTATGCATCAAGTTATAGATGTATAACCCGAATATTTTGAAGTACTTAGAATGTAGCAAGCTCGGGTGTCCCTCAAGGTAGCAACCTAGGTCCGCTACTTTTCAATGCCTTTATCAATGACATTATCGAAGTAATTGATGTCAATTGTTTGATGTATGCAGACGATTTGAAGATATATTGTCAGATAAATGATATTGAGGATTGTGAACGGCTATCTTTAAATCTGAAACGCGTTGAACAATGGTGTTGCAGTAACAAATTACCTTTGAACGCTAGCAAATGTAATGTGATGACATATACACTTAGAAATCAACTCATTTTATTTCCGTATGATATTAGTGATACAATACTTCAACGTCCGCCCACATTTACCGATTTAGGTGTCACCTTTGACACAAAACTTTCATTCACACCGCATATTGAAGCTACTTTGTCTGCTGCAAACAAGATGTATGGATTCATAGCGCGGATCTCTAGAGATTTTTCCGATTCAGCCACATCAAAAACATTATATTATGCCTGTATATAGAGAAAGTTGAATCAGTACAACGTCGTTTCCTAAAACTTCTTTCCTATAGATCTGATAATGTATATCCACCAATCGGGTTTCCTCATGATACATTATTGGCTAGACATGCTATGAAAAGCCTCAGTTGCCGTCGTGATTGTCAATCCACAGTGTTCCTTTTCAAAGTGGTGAATAACATTATCACTGACTCACACATTTTGCAGAAGCTGAGTTTCACTGTGCCTAGACAAACTTCTAGAGTTTTCAATACATTCTATCTTCCGACACCACGAACAAATATTCTGAAATATTCTCCTCTCCATAACATGTGTTCTATATACAATAATTCATCAAATAATCAGCCAGATATCTTTCATTGCTCTATCTCTACGATTAAATCTTTTTATTTCAGCTAAGGTCTTGCCTATATTTATATACTTTTCAAAATATGAAAAACTGTATTAATAGTTATACATACTTCCCTGTTCTGTAGTTGGGTTTGACCTGTAGAACAGTGTAACATTAAATAAATAAATAAATAAATAAATAAATAAAATATTATATACAACTCAATACCTTTTTGGTTGCCACAAAAAGGGATGTGCTGTAATGTTCAGAGAACATCGTGAGAAAAAAGGGAAATAAGGTAGGAATTGGTGTTCTCCTTAAATTTCTGGAGGTTATATGCCTCGGGGAACAACCTCCCTTGGCAATGTGTTTCAGGGCCTCGCTGTTCCTTGGATGAACGAGTCTTTGGAAAGAGATGTTCTGCAGGTCTCCAAAGTGATCACGAAGGGGTGCGAAGCATCAGCTCGACGGGTTAATCTCGTGGGAACTACCAAGGGAGGAACAATTGTTGATATTTCGGAAGAGCATAGTCCAGGGAAATATCTATGAGATAGAGCCAGATCTACAACTTTTCTACGGTGTCCCAGAGAAGTGAGTGAGTTGTGAGCGAGGCATCACCTATGAGACGAATTGCCCTTTTTTGGACAGAATCCAACAGTTTCAGGGTATGTTTGGGTGCTGCGCTTCAAATATGGAAACAGTATTCCAGGACATGTCAGATCTGTGCCTTATAGATCATAAGCAGCTGACTGGAAATGAAATAGCTCCTGGCCCGAAACAGAAAACCAAGTTTTTGGGATGCACTTTTAGCAATTGATCTCACGTGATTTTCTCAAGGAAGGCTGTTGCTGATAGTGATCCCAAGCATCGAAATGGATGTCTTCAAAGTTATGGTTACTCTTGACAAGCTTATGTTGGGTACAGTGAGATTGGTCTTTCTAGAGAAAAGGCATGCTTGTGTTTTGTTCGCATTGAAATCTACCAAGTTATTGGATCCCCATTGGAGAATTGTAACCAAAGTCCATATTTATGTTGTCAACATTTCTCTCTCGTTCGTTTCTGATTTGCCTGGCTGCAATTGGAGCCATGGAAGAGAAGGCGGTATGGAGGGTACTATCATCCGCGGAGATGTGTACTGGACATGTAGTTGCTTCCAACAAATCGTTGATATGGAGTAGAAATAGTGTTGGTGCTAGAATTGATCCTTGCGAAACACCAGCATTTATGATGAAAGAGTCAGATAAAACTCCGTCGACCACTACATGGAGAGACCTGTTTGAGAGAAAACTATAGCTAGCACAGGCCATAGCTGGGGAAGCAAGAAATAAGATGGAGGAGTCCGTGGTGCCAGGCACGATCGAATTCCTTGCTACGGCTAAGGTTTCACCATATTTTTCAATAGATTGCTGCCATCCCAGCAAACATTCTTTTGCGGTAAACTGAAGGCCCAATACATTGCTCCCATAACTAGATGTTGCGGCAAAATGACTATATAGCGTTGGTACGGGGCCATCAAGAAAAGGACACTCTGGCCGACGGTTTCCCGACGGTCAATCAGCCGGCATTCATTCCATTGATGGGCCTTCAAATCCCCATACTGGCATAGGAACGAAGTATAAAAAATATCTCGACTTTGGATGATAAGATTGCGATCTGATAAGATCTTCATTTTGGAGATTGACCTCATATATTTTCGTGACTTGGTAGCCCTGATGGTCCATTCTCCAGGTGTCTTATCCATTCAGTCGTATTTTCGCAATGGCCATATCGTTGGGATATCTCTATGAGAACATGACTAGCTACTCGTATTAGTATCTAAACTCATGTAGTGAGTATCGGTGAGATGTAAACGAATCGAAACGGATAAGAGAATATTTGAAACTGATATATTTTGTTGATAATATTTCAACTAATACTTTGATATTCTGAGAGAAATAATCCATGATATCATTGCATTCGGATAATCTTGGATCACTCTAGGAAAATATACAGTATGTCTGAAAAACGTGACAATAAATTGAAAACTTTTTCATTATTAATTCTAAGAAAAAAAGTCATTCAACATAAAGACCTCTGCAAGGTCTAAAAACAAAAATGCAAATATCAGATATCGATTTTTGTCAGTCGTATACGAGGTATGTCAAAAAAGTAGATTTTGTTCAAGTGTAAATAATGTACCGTTTTTATTTTCGATAATATCGAAAATTATTATCATATACAAAATTTGACTAGAATTGAAAACTACGG